ATATGATAGACAAATAAAGAACATGCTAGAAGTAAAAACATAGATAGCAAGTAGTAGCATAACAAATGAATGGAGATTATTATATATGAATTAGCTAATAGATATAAAAGATGACAACTTAATCACATGAAGACAACTTAAAAGTCTTTAAGGTTTATTATATAAGAAGAAGAAAGCCAAATAGTTTAATAAAATAGAAAGAAAGATGCTAAAAATGCAAGCAAGTAAAGAAATACAAGACCAATACAAAATAAACAGCTATAATATACAGGCATTAAAAATTAAGTAGACAAAGATGTCAGAAAACTGAAGAAGATAAGAATAAATTATATATAAATCAAAACACAACTAGCAATTTAGCAAAGTAATTAAGAAAAAGAAGAAAAAAGTGTTAGCAAAGCATTGGCTAATGCATAAAGAAGAATGAAAAACATATACAGAAATAAGTTTATGTAAAAGTTGTAAAAACAGATTAGAACAGACAACAGACAAGTGTGAAAGATGGATAAGACAAGACCAGAATATGAAAATGGTTTCAGAGTTACTAATAGAAAAAACAAACAACAAAATAAATACAATATTAGAGCAGTTATTAGAAAACAGAAGAATAGAAGAATGAAAAAGAGATAAAATAGAACTATCAGAATTAAAACTGGCAGAAGAATTAGAAATAGAACTAATCAAGAAACAAGAGCTAAATAGTATAATTACAAATTAGCTAACAGAAATCACAATACAGAACAAGAAAAGAAACAAAGAAAAGTACATCATATATACTAATAGAAATTTATACAAGAAGAGAAAAAAAACAATGAACTTGTGAAACCGGGCAAAGAGCCAGCCTTTGAGGAGGGCCAAATAGAACCAACCAGGCTGCCAGAATTTCCGAGTTCCGAAGGAAAAGGTTACATGCCAGCAAACATGTAAACCAAAGATGTATGGTTACAACTTGCCTTTCTGGGCTATCTGATTTGAGAGCTTAGTAGAACTTGAATTGAATACCAAAGTAGTAGGAATATGTTGTGAAGTCAGTACCAGGGTTGGGGTGAACTCTACAAGGGCATAGTGGTTTAATGGTATGCCCTGACCGCCAGTGTTGGTCTCAGCCATAGCGATACCAGGTCAGCTGTAAGAATGGGATACAGAAGATTCTGGAAGGTTTAGTACAAGGTCAAAGGTTCCTCATGTAAGTGAACCGCTTTAAAGACTTAGTGACCATGGCATATTTGAACCAGTATCGACCAGGGCATCTTGGTAAGTGTAGGTAGGTGGGTGGATACAGAAACAGAGTGGTTAAATAGGGAACCTACAAGTAGGTTCTAGATATGGAAGCTAGTGTAGAACCTTTGGGTAGACTACTTAAATTAGACAATGACTAAAGTTGTACAAGTGGCTAGTTATACACTCTTTCTATAGTTGCCCCCTGTGGTAGTAATGCAACCATTAGCTAAATGTATTATCAATAAAATCCTGGGTCGCAAGTACTCACCTTAATATTTAAAAAAAAATTTATTTACAATAAGACCAATGAGAATAAAAAATAAATACAATTATGTTTTAACTCTAACTCAAATTAAAGGTAATATATTATAAATATTTCAGTGTCTTGATGGGGCATATGAATTGTATAATTTAAAATAACAAAGTATTATTAATAGAAGATATGATTCTCATGAACAAATCTCAGTTAAGAATTTTGAAACAAATGACTAAAAGCTTTAAAAAAAAATATTAAATTTTTAATGCAAATTTTTTTTAAAAAAAAATTTATATTAATATGCACATGCAAATAAAAAATGTAACTAGCATACATTTTAGTAAATAAATTTCAAAATATTATTTTTTAAAATTATTGTACTACATATAATCAAAAAATAAATTAGAGCTAATCTCTGCAATATTATTTATATTTATATTTAAAATAATTAATCACTCCAAATTTTTAATATTGTAAAATTTTTTAGTTGAATAATTGTAATTTTATTTTATATTTACAAGTTTATTCTAACCTCTTATCTCTCTAGTTATTTAACAAATTATAAAAGAATTCAAATTTAATATTCAAACAATTTGAGAATTAAGATTAATAACTTATTTCACTTTTTGTCTCTTAACTCATTTTTTATAACTAAATACTCTAGTAATTATAGGCTCTAAATGATTGTTTCAATGTGCTATTCATCATTGTTTTTTAGTTTCTTTACAAATGCATATAATAAATGCCTTTTTAACCTTACCCTTGTAATTCTAAGTTTTGTGGCTAGATTTTTCACTAATTCATTTGAGGATTTTTCTGCAATTGGTGTACAAACCTTTTAATTATTACTGTAATTATATTACCTTATATAAAAAAAGAAAAAAAATAATGATAAATCATAAGTAAATAAATTAATTACACAGGCTTTACAAATGCACTACAAAAAAAGCCCCAGAATTGTCTATAACATTTAATATCATTCTAAGCTAATAAGAAAAAGTTTCTTTATCATACAATTACTGTATAAGTATTAATATATATAACCACAATACTGATGCTAAATTTAACAACAATAATAATACTTATAATAAAAATATTAGTACATATATACATAATAGATTCTAAAATTTATTATACAGATAATAGTAATTGAGTATATAATACTATTAGTCAGAATGTAGTGAAAAAGTCATGATTAAGTATATAAAAATTTATACTACATTTTGGCCAATAGAATTTTGTGTTATTGAAAAAAATTAGTGGTGCTCTTAGGGTAGTTCAGGTTGTTAGCTTACTACATAACTGTGTCCTTAACTGTTGGTTTTGCTTCTGAAGTAGTAATATATAGTTATAAAAATAGATTACAAAGCTCTAAATATAAATATCATATTAAGTTTATTTTTTAAAAATATTATAGTTTTGATAATTACAATTATCAAAATATAAAAAATCAGTATGTGAAATTACAGAAAATCAACAGATTTAAAGGTTGCTTAAAGCCAAGTACATTACATAATTTTCTGATAATTGATGATTATTAGGTAATTACAGAATATATGATGTTTAATTATACAAAAAAATAGATTTTTTTTCACTAAGTATGCAATATATAAAAAATTATTTTATAATTTTATTGTAAAATAATTTGTTATATATTGCACACTAGTAAAGAATCAGTTATATAACATTAACAGTTTCTTCTGTTATATAATTTAGCTGCTTAAGACAATGAATTTTTTTTTGTTTACAAAATTGTGACATTAAGACATCCATCTCTTCAAAATAATATAATACCAAGATTTTTTTTTGTAACTACAAGAGAAACTTTTTTTTGAAAAAAACTTATTTTTTTTTCTTTTTTTTTTTATATATATTGTTATAGGCCAGAAAAACATAATGATTCATACAAAATTATACATAACATGAGTAATGTTCAGAATCTACAGATTGTATATACATTTTGACCCTTCAAAAAAAGCAAAACATGTATAATCAGACCCTTCATGTTAAGAATACAAGACAAGATAGTTGTTCCCAAATTTGAAAAGGCATTTAGATTATGGCAACAATGTTCCAAAAAGACAAAATTCTAATATTAAGAGGATGAGTTAGTATAGTTGTAATAGAATAAAATAAAAGTAAAATAATTTAGAATACAACACTTACCCAATCTAGTAAACCCATGATAGTACAACTGTGTAGTAGTAGAATAGTAAAAAAATAGGAGAGCAAACTAAATTTAATAAAGAATTTGTTAGTAATGTGAAATTGTATAAAAAGCAACTAAAATTTTAATAAAGTACTTATCTTTTGGCATCTTAAGTGGTTGGAGAAAGATTGAAGCCAGTATAGTAAAAGGAAATAGTATAGTAGTAGTTAGTTTGATATTCAAATAAATAAAAATTAAATAAATAATAAATAGAAAACAAAAGTATATTTGCCAAATTGTTTTCACATCTCAAAGCCTTAATCTGCTATATTAATAGTATTATACAAGGTCTTGCCCATTGGAGTGACAGACTTACTATTTACCTATCACAATATAAACCTTAAATAAATACTTATAAAATGAATGATAATACTACTGAAGAAATAAAAAATAAAAAAAATCTAGCAACATCTGAAATATGCAGAGTTTTAGTTAATTAGTCAAATGAAGTTTTTTTACTAATGAATATGCAATATTTAGGTTGCATATTATATTAAAAACAATAAAATTGAGTTATAAACATCATCATATCTTATTTTAGATTAAAGATATGCACTTCTTTTTAATATTAAACAACCTTTTGAGATTCTTGTCACAAATATATAAGAAAGGTACAATTTTAGAAACTATAATAATAATAATTTATAGGTGGCATATGTATGCCAATTTACAAAACATAATCTATCAAGCACTTATAAAAAAATACTTGTTAAATGATACTCAAACAGTTTTAATCATATACATACTATCAAAGAAAATAAAAAGTTAAAATGTTCTCAGCTTGCTTATAGTTTGATTAAGAAAAAAGCTATTAAAAATTATCTGCCTTCAGTTATTATTAATACAATCAAGGAATATGTAACTAAGAGGTTAGACCTCAGTTCTAGTATAAAAAAATTAAAGAGAATAAAGATTTACAATATAAAAAAAAAGGTTTACAGACTCCAGAATTCATATTTTATAAGAAATAAAAGTTTAGAACTAGATATTAAAGAATTTATTTTTTTAAAAAAAAAGAAGAATATCAAGTAGAATGTGGCTCAAGGTTTCATGTTTGTATACCTAATTTAGCTTGAAAAGCTTTATTATTTTAGGTAGTTAATATTAGTTGATTTAATATATAAGACTAATAAATATAATTAGAGATTATTTATATTGTATATTCAAGACAACTATGATTCTTAAAATGTTGAAACCTATTTTTTTGTTAATAATAAAACCAGTAAGATAGTTGTAGAGATTCTCAAAATAATTCAACATTTTAAAAGTTCTTGAATGCCTTATTACTTCTTTTCTAACTAAAGTAATATTGAGATGAATGGTATTTTAAATGCTTTTCCTGGTTTACCAAAAGATGAACAAGTATGTAAGTTTTTTTTTGTACTGTTTATATAGTTTGTACTTAAATGAATAAAATTTATAAACAAAAAGTTCAGAGCAAAATGATATGCACTATGTATAAAGTAACTAAAACTGAATATAATAAACTTATCAAGAATATAATCAATAACTGTCAAGTTCCTGACATCAAATAGTATTTAATATGAAATTATATAAAAAATACTAATAAGGGGTGTGGCGACCTAATGAAGTGGTTAGGTTGTTAATCCCCAAGTGGCAGGTCCAGAGTTCAAATCCTAGTGTCAACAGAAAATTTGAAAATTCTTTCTGTGTTACGGTTAACTGTCTCTCACAATTGGTTGGGATAAGACATCTGTAATCTATGTCACACCAGCAAGACTGGCAGGTCATGACATTGTCCTTTGGGACAAGATCTGTGATTACACAAAGGAATGCAAACCAGTACCAGGCAGTGCAAACCTACAATAAGTCTTCATGGCCATGTAAATCATAGGAACCAATAGAAGAAAGATGAAAGCCCATTTGGAAAACCTGAGTAGAGAGGTAATCTGAGCTTTTGACAATGCTATTATAAAGACTAGACTTATAAAACAGAGCTAGAACTTGTGAAACTGGGCAAATGTGCTGGTCTTTGAGGAGAGGACAGATGAACCAACCAGGCTGCCAGAATTTCTAGATTCCAGAGGAAAAGGGTACATGCCAGCAAACATGTAAACCAGAGATACAGTCTCGCTCTATCTTTCTGGGCTATCTGGAATGACAGCTTGGTGGAACTTGAATTGAATACCAAAGTAGTAAGGATATATTGTGAAGTAAGTATTAGGGTTGGAGTGAACTCTATAAGGACATAGTGGTTTAATGGTACATCCTAACTGTCAGTGTTGGTCTTATCCATAGTGATACCAGATCAGCTGTAAGAATAGGATACAGAAGATTCTAGGAGCTTTAGTATAAGGTCAAAGGTTTCCTATATGAGTGAACTGCTTTAAAGACTTAGTGGCCATGACATATTTTCACCAGCATCAGCCGGGGTCATTGGTAAGCAGAGGTAGGTGGGTGGATACAGAAACAGAGTGGTTAAATAGGGAATCTACAAGTGGGTTCCAGGTATGACAGCTAGTGTAGAACCTTCAGGCAGACTACTTAAAATTAGACAATGACTAAAGTTGTACGAGTGGCTAGTTGTACACTCTCTCCATGGTTGCCTTCTATGGTTGTAAAGCAATTATTAGCCAAATATACTATCAATAAAATCCTGGGTCACAAGTACTCACCTTAATATTTAAAAAAAAAAAAAACTAATTAATAGGCCTTTGGGCCTAACAGCATTCCCTTCTTCTTCTATAAATAATATTAACAACTACAATAGAATTATATCATAGTGAATTGAAGAGATTAATAATTTCTTATTATAGGTTAATAGGTAGCTTTTGTGTATTTGTATTTATATTTTTGATTAGTATATATTGTAATTTATTTGTATAATAAATAAATATTACAAAGAAGCTAGAGATGATTAAAGTTAAAAATTTTAATTTTTATAATTAGATTAAAGTTTAAAGTTTTAACTTCTAACTTCAGTCATGGCAATAAATTAATTCAAAATTGAATTAATTTTTGTTAGAAGTTTTATTTTATTTTATTTTTGTATACAATGCATGCAAGTATAGTTTAATGAATATATTAAATATTATTTAATATTATTTAATAGGTACTTGTAACAAAGTAGTTATACTTGATATGAAAAAGCAATTGAATTTAGAAAATACAGTCTTTGAATTTTATATCAAGCAAATCTCAGCTTTTGGTATAGATTATGAAACTCTTAACTAAATTCATAAGTTTTTATTTTTTATACAATAACTAATTATTAGTGATGTTTACACTATAGAAAAAAGAATAGAAAGAGTAAGGAGGTTCTGGGTCTTATGTCATCTTAAGTATCATTATTATTTTTTTGCTATTACTTGCTTCGATGTTGATATATATTTTATAAGCAACTATATAAAAAAAAAATTTACTAATATTTAGTATTCGGAAAGAGTTTTAATGAATGTTTGTAAAGAATAAATTTGGAATGTATATTAATTGTAAGTTAGTAGAAATTGATTTGCTCAAGAAAATAGAAGTCAAAAAGACTGCAAATAAATGACTTTTAACAGTAAATGAGTTACTTAAATGGACACATAATGCTTACTAGAAGGTTGAAGAAAAAGGTGATTCATCACAAAAGACAGCATTTATTAAAGCATTAGTATCATCTTTGAATGTAATCTTAAATCTGCAAGAAAATACAAAGTAAAAAAATAAAAAAAATAAAAAAAATCATATTTTTCCTATTGCTAATTTTGCGTAATAGAATTGTGTAGCTACTTATATTGAGATAGACAAAGTATTCTTATGTTAAATGAAAATAGTAACTGAATTGATTATTAAATAGTAGAATGTTTAACCAGAAAAAAGACCATAAAATATAAATAAATAAATAAATAAATAAGCATCAAGTGACATCTTTAGAAAATTAATATTTTGGTTTATAAAAAAATAAATTAAATAAAACTACATTAATTACACAAGAACGACTTTGAGCAGGACACAAGATTTATTATAAATTACTGAGATTTCAGTAAATTAAAAAAAAATTTTGAAATTTTATTACTAGCAAATTACAAAGGTAAAATAAGATATATGAATATCTCCACTATGCAGATTCAAAATTTCCCCTAATAAAAGATTATCAGAAAAAATTTTGGACACATTATGTCACAATTTTGTTCATCAGCTTTGAGTATTAATTTTAATAAAGAGAGCATTCATACTCCCAGCAAGAGTAAAAAAAACTCAATAATCACCTGATCAGGCTGGACAAATTTTTATTTGAATTCTATCTATAGATTTTAAATAAAAAGTTTTATCGAGGTTGATCAAGTGGTTGCTGTTCAAAATTAGAAAATGATACAACTTTATTTTTACAGGTGTTCTAATTTTTCTCTTAGAGTAAAGATATTTCGATAACTACATGATCAAAAACTGATAAAACTTTTTTATCGAATTCTATGGAACCATAGAATTCGAATAAAAATGTTTCATCGAATTGATCAAGTGGCTGTCAAGACATCTTGTTCTAAGTTTTAACAAAATTTGTACTTCGATTTTGATAGACGGCTTGCTTTTTTTCAAACTTTGAGTGAAGATATCTAGACAACCACCTGATTAAATTCAGAAAAAATTTTTTTATATAAAGTCTAAGAATTTATAAAATTTAAATAAAAAAAAGTTTTATCAAATTCAGTCAGGTGGTTGGTTGTTGTGATATCTTCATTATTTTTATTAATGTTAGTAACAGTAGATGTGTACCAAATCCTGTAATTACAGCTGCAGATCATCAGAAAATCTCGTGATGTACCTGGCTTTAAGCGACCCCCAGATTTAGCGGATTTTTTGATTCTCCGACAATCTTAAAGATTTCAAATAAACATAGACGTTACTGATTAAAAATTATGATTAATGGCAATTTAGAATCTCTGAATTTTCTGACATCATCATCCACAAAAATCACAGTATTACACCTTTCTGCAAACCGCCATAATAATAATGTTTTTATTTAATCCTGGGCAGATTAGCGATTTCAACATGGGTAAGTTCGGAATTTCATTAACAATGGCTCATGATCCCAATAGTGTGTAATTTTTATAATATTGAGTGCATTTAATAATATAATCCAACAAATACATAAACATTATGTGAATCCTAAAATAGGGTAATTTATTAATCATTAACCTTTACAAATTTATTATTAAACATGATATCTTAGACAAGCTTTCAAGTTTACTATGTCATAATTTCTTATTATTAATAATTATTGTCATGCAATGCATACTATTTTACTTCAGTTTGTAAGTGAATACAGAAACAATAAATTAATATCTTTTAGAATTTATTAATATTTACTGTTAAAATTCTGAATAGAACGGGTGGCGTAACGTGCCACCATCACTCTTTTATCTATGCTTGTATCTATTCTATGATAAGAGCGACTCAGTTCCAAAAGCTCCAATACCTGATAACCACTAAATAACTGTATTGTCTATAAGTTCATGTTCATAAGAATAGTAAGAATAGCAAATGTTATTTTGTCATATATATGCACGTACATGCATACGTATGTACATACATACGTAACTGTTACACAAATACGAATGCAGTTGTAGTCTAGATTCGGTAAGGAATAGTGTATTTATGTAGCAATTATTACATTGTACGTACGTACGTACGAATACGAATATTAATAAAACTCCGTTATTTAAAAATTTTCGCCTTTTATAATTCTTTTTATCCTTTTAGACCACGAACTGAACAAACAGTGTGAAAAGTCTTGTATGCTCGTAAATGACGTAAGTAAAATCATGCATTATGTTCGGATTACATTTGGCGGTTTAATCAGATTTCCGAAACAAAACTAATTGGGTTTAATTAAACTCCGGATACAAATGTTGCACAGTTTTGCAAAAACCTAAAAATTGCCTGATAGTATAAATATTTACGTTCGATTCTTCTTCTCATTATTCAATAGACATAAAAAAAAAACCGCAAAAAAACTATAACAGTTAAAATATTGGAACGATAGGATTTTGACAAATTGCTTATATTATTGGATTGCCTTTTATATATTCTTGAAACATTTGCAAAAAAAAACCAAATAATGACGCAGCCAAAATGGGGTCATGATGATGATTACTCTGCAATAAAGTTTTGGGAAAATAAAGATTTACTTATAATTTCATGTGAAAAAAATGGTTGGTCTCCAAAGGCAAGATCGTTCAGTAATGGTAAATTTGCCTCACACGATTCACTATGATTTATTTTAAGAAAATAATATGCTCTAAGTTTGAATTTTTTGAATTTTCTTATATAAATTAATAGAAACTGAAGATTCAATATCTGTTGATTTTGAGTTAGGAAAACAATATTCTCAAGCTAAAGGATTTTATTTCTTTGGTGTTTTTGATGGACATGGAGGTATTAACCTTTATTTATCAATATTTAATGTATATTATATGACATAAAATTTTCATATTTAAATGTTTTTTTAAATAGTAAATGGAATAGTAAATGGAAAGGACCACATTTCAAAAATATGTTCTGAGCAGCTACCGAATAACATTGCCAAAAATTTATCAAGAAAACATACAAATAAAGAAGAAAATATTATAAATGCTATAAAGAAAGGATTTGAAGAAACAGAACAATATATGAAATCAAGTACTTTTCATCTGTATATAAATACTTTTAGATACTTTTTGTATTAGTTTATTTGCTTAGCAACTAATTAATTTCTTATTAGAGCTTGTTAAAGAAGCACGAGATGCTGGATGCACAGCATTGATAGCAGTATTGGCACCTTCAAAAGAGCTATTTATTGTACGTACATTTAAAGGAACTCGGTTGTTATAAACTTTTAATTTTGATTTTTTATAAAAGTATATTTATTAATTATACATTGATTTTTAGGCAAATATTGGAGATTCACCTGGTTTTATTTCATCAAAAAAAGTATTTTCTGAACAAATTACAAAAGAACATGATGTACATAATAAAGGTATTTAGATTCTATTAAATATTTTGATTTTTTACATTAATTTAATTTTTATAATAATTTCTTTAGATGAAATTTTAAGGTTAAGACAACAAAAAAAGGAAAAAGATGGTGTAGGTTTTTCAATTTATAGATTGGCTCCCGGAAGAAGAGAAAAATCTTGGGCATGTAAGTACAAAACTAAATCATTATAAATTTTAATTAAAATAACTTTTTAAAATTTAGTTGAAATAACTTCTTATTAATTAAATTTTAATGATAATAATAGTGGATAATACATTTAGTCGTGGAATGCAGTATACACGTTCATTTGGAGATTTTTATATTAAGGAAAAAGCCCCAAAAAGTTTAATATGTAATTTAAAAATTTCGTAATAGATTTTATTTTTTTCTTATAATTATATGATTTATAATTTTCTTGAATTTTATTATTTTAATAGCTGAACCAGAAATTACAGAAAAATATGATACAAAAGAATTAAATCTACTTGTTCTTTGTTCCGATGGTAAATTTTATTATTATTTAATTCTTAAAGCACATATGAATTCTAATAAAAATTTTTTTTATTCAGGTATTACAAATCGTCTTAGAGCATATAGAAGAATGCCAACTGAGGTTTTACTAAGTTATATTAAGCAACATATAAATTCAGAAAATCCATTAAAACCAGCTTGTTATGATTTAGTCAGACTTTGTGATTTAGTATCTCAATCAGGATTTTGCATTGATGATATGTCAATTTTAGTAATAGTATTTTTGAATGGTAAATCATTAAAAAAATGGTGTGAAGATGCAACTAAGCATGCTGAAAATCCTGAAGATTGGTTACAATATAGACCAAAGGATGTTGATGATGTTTCGGAAATTTCTGATGAAGATTTGGGTGAAGTTGATTCTCCCAAAAGTGATAATAGTAGTTTTGATATTTATGATACATCAAATCAGTATTCTATTGAAGAGGCTGAAGAATTTGTTGATATGACTATTCCTGACATTTAATTTTGTATAATTATTCAATTATGATTAAATAACTTAGCAGATATTAGCAGTTAGACTTCTTTAAATACATCTTGAAATCAAATCATCAGTATGCATTTAAGAAGGATGTACATATAGAAAAGTAATTTTATAAAATTTTTAATCAAATGTAATTATGAATGAACATGTAAAGCATGTGCATACAGAGAACCTTCACTTTATTGTTTAAGCATCTATATAGTTTCTAAAGTTAAGAATTTTCTATCAAATAACTTGATCACAAATTTTTCCATCATCCATTTGTAAGTTGTCAAGTTTTAAATGGGAGACCAAGGCCTTTACGGGAAGATCATTAAAGTCTTAAGAATCAAAATCTATAATTGGATTCTTGACAATAATATTGTTAGAACCTTTTGTAAAATTCTAAAATTATGTTTAATGATTGTCGGGATAATGCTGAAATTTAACTTATTTTAATATAAAATTTTAATTTTTTGGGGATGTTATTTTATTTTTTTGGAATTTAATTAGGATTTAGAGTTAGAGTTTATAATAAAAGATCATATGTAGATATATGTGGAATTTAGTAGGGGTTTATAAGTTTCAAATCGTAACACGAATTTAGTATTATTTATATTTCGGTATCATCCCGACAATAATTACAAATTTAAATATAACATAACAATTGTCTTTATAACTTAATAATAATATAAAATTATCGGCAGAAATATGGAGTATACCGATTCTTTTTTAACATTATTTTGATTATAACTTGTTTTGGTCAACTTTTCACGAAGAATTAGAACATCGAGAATTCAAAATAAGTGCATATGCTTTAAAAATTTGTCAGCTTGGCATTTGACCAATTTTAATTATTGCCATTTCTAAGAAGATTCGTTATGTCTATAGAAAGCGTTTTAAAAACCTCTATGCAAATTTTATCTAGCAATGAGCTATGCATACCCGAATTGATTGTACTCCAAGTTCATTCGTTTCTTATACTAGTTGAAAACGAAGTCATGATCCAAGAAAATTGATGTTTCAAGGTAATGGGTAAAATATATTTTTAGGAAGAAATTGTAGTTTCTCGATGCAAATTTAAAAATATATAAAGGGATGGATTCTCGCTCATATAAAACCTCAGTTTTTCAATGTCTTAAATTAGTAATAAAAGTTATTTCTTATTATTATTGTTTTTTTTTTTTTTTAGAGTGAGGCCGGCCTCGGTCTTTATTGAACAATTTGGTATTACATTAGTTAAAATGTTTGCAGATATGTTTGCAGATATGTTTGTAGTAGGAAATATGGTTGCCTATTTTTCATATTTGATTGTAGTTATTTGATTTGTAGTATGATGTTCAGGGGCGGTAACTGCAAATATATTTGTTAGTAAGCTGTTTTGATGTATTGCTTTGCATCTTTCTGTCTATATTTGTTTGTATATATTTTGTGAAATAGACTGACAAGTGTGCTTGAAGTAATGTTGCAGGTTGTAGATATATTGTTTGAAATCAGGTCTTGTATTCTGAGAAGATGTTGTGTGATGTTTTGTGTTTGGGTAAGTTGTTGCATACAAAAAGAGGTATTATTTGATTCAGGTTTGTGTTTAATAAAGAACTTGTATGTAGTTTGTTGAATTAACTAATTAAGGGATATGGAGTTTGCAGTGCACTCTAGGTATTGCAATTTGTTTTCTATATGTAATGTGCAATAGTTGCAAGTAGGATTAGTGTAGGTTTTGGGTTTTCTGTAATATAGGTTTAAAAATGTAGATAATTTATTTATTAAAAATTTGATATTGAAGTTTTTTTTTAGTTGTAGTATTTAGGATAAGTAGTATAAAATTTAGGTTTGTTGTTGTAATTGATTAATAAAAATAAAACTTAATTTACAAAATATTTTACTATATTAATTGATCTTGAGTTCTTAAGTAAAAGTGTTCATCTAAACAAAATATTCACAGTTTTATAAAATAAAAAATTAATTGTTTTAATAAATTTTAATTTAATTTGAAAATTTAGATTTGAATTTAAATATTTGATTAATTAAAATTAATAGTAAAACTCTAAACAGATGAGTTGTTTTATTATAAAAAAGATAATTCTTGAAATTTTTAATATAGATATATTTGATCTTAAAATTTTTATAGTTAATTATTATTTGTACAAAAAGTTTAAATAGTAGTAATTGTGTTTTTGTAAAGTAAAAATAAATTTTGTATTAATGTAAGTAGTAAATTGACATAGTTGATTGTAAATTTGTAGGTTAAAAAAACTGTTATTAGCAATTCTGTAATGCAATAATTAGTATTATTATAATACTAATAAGATATATTTATATAATAAAAAGCTAATATTAATTTAAATAAGAAAACAATATTGATTGTATAAGAGTTTAGACAGATTGGAACTGTAAATATAATATGTTTAGATGGATTGTAGTTGTATAAAGAGATAGTTGAAATTTTTTAGTTTGAAAATTAATTATTATAAGATAAAATAAATATATATTAATAGCATTTGATAGAAATATTTGAAATAATAAGTTATTTTGAAAGATTAAGATAGTTAATATACTAAATAATTGGAATAGTAGTTGAGTATAATGTTTATGTTTTTATTTATAAATATAATAGAGTTAATGTTTTAAAATATAAATAATATTGTATTAAATTATTAATATTAATATAAAAAACTTTTGAATTTAATACTTTGATGTTAATATACTGAAATATCTTGAAAGTAATTATATATTGTAGTTGATAACAATGCAAGTATGTTTACATTTGCAGTGTTTTGGTATTGTCTTGTCTGTACTGACAAATTTTTTTATTTTATCTAAAATCCATATTGTCATGATCTAAAATAGGATTGTCAACATTTTATTTAAGTTAGATTACATAATGAAATAATAATATATAGTAATTATTTGATATAGCACATATATAGAATGTAATTAGTAGATATAGCATAATTAGCATAATTAGTAGATGTAGTAAATGTTGTGTATTTAACATATAAAGTATAAATAGAGAAATTAGTATATATAGCATAATTAGTATAATTAGTGTATATAATATAATTAGTATAATTAGTGTATAGAAAAAAAGTATAAGCAATGCATTTATAATATAAAAAAGATAAGTCTTATAATATAGTTAATAAAAATATACTTACTCTTAGTACTTACCCAAATCCAATGCCTCTTTTAAGTACTAACCTGTTCAACATTATACACAAAACTTTTGTTTACCCTATGAATAGAAAATTTTAGAATCTATATTTTCTGTACTATGACAATATATTATTATTTTTGTTAAGAATTTATATACTTTTTATTAATATTATAAAATTAACAGTAAATAGTTAAAAATAATAATAGAAATAAATAATATTATAAATATATAAAATATGTTTTGTAATTCAGAAAGGTATTTGAAAATTCTGACTCTAAGTATTTTATATATTGTTAACCTGTAGTTTTTCTTTTAACTACAGTGATATCAGAAGCTGCTCAACTATAGTATGACAACTATAACTTGACAGATTCAATACAAAAGTCTA